GATTTCGCATATTGTATGGTTGGGTGGGGTGGCGGGAATAGAGGGAGCCAATGTAGCACTTTTTAATTAATTCGGTGACAATGATAAAGCAATTTTTGGATGCATCATTTCTGCTTTTCATTCTTCAATCGAAGCATAATGGAGATGGCACATCCCTTACTCCTGAAGAATAGAGATAGCTTCTTCTTGCCTAATGACTTAAGTCCAGTAGGCGTAGGTTTCTTTTCTAAAATTTAATTTGTTCTGAAAACTTGTAAAAATATTGTTGGGTTCAATCACTTCCTTCTCAGTCATTTCATATCCTCATATATGCTTGAGGTTTATAACTTAAAATGTTCAGACAGATTCACAGTGGGTTCTGACAGTCTAGCCGTGTCTTTGACTCCTGCGTCTTCACCAGTAACGAAGACTGGAACTTAACTAATGATTTTGTTGCCTATGCATGAGACAGACCAGGGTCCATTGCTGTCCCCAATAACTGTTGGTTTTCAAGACTGAGGGGAGCAAAAAGGAGCGGAACTTAAAATGTTATCAATAAAAGTAGATGATATTAAACATTTATAGGAGGATGACACCTAAATTCAATTCCGGATTTCCACAAAGAGACCTGTGACATAAGGCATCAGTTCTTTCCTTCTCCGCCACTCCCGCAAACTAGTACTAAAAAAAAGCGAAACTTTTTGATTAAGGCAGAGTTACTATGAAATGTTAATGTTTTTTTCTGACTAACCATGTTGTATAGTCTGGCCATTGTGCAGGGTGAGGACAGTTATGGGTAAATCATGAAGCTATGGATTAGATTTAAATAAGCATCAAAAGTTCAGATACTATTTGGAAGGCACACAACTGTGTGGAAAATGCCAAGAATTCTCAACATTGCTGAGATGTGAGGCCTACATAAATCTTTCCAACTATCATCTGGTTTGATTGGGGTGAAGCGGACCTCAGAAACTAACTTTTCCAATTATCTGCTATTGGAAGTAGTGCTAGAACATCTGTTATCTTACTTTTTCTGTAAATACTAAGTATAGAAATATAAGATGAGAATGAGATTGGTTACATTCTTCCAGGCTCATAATTTCTCTTTGGTTGTTGGAACAGCACTGTTCTGACTTCTAAATATTCTGTGGTCAAATCTAGTGTTCTGGACCTTAATCTCCGAATGTTATGACTTGAACAAAAGCTAGTTTAGGTAGGTTTTGTCTGTTCTCATTTTCCTGGGTAGTTGTCTGAGCCCTATGCTGGAGGGTATAAAGACGAAGCATAGATGATCCCAGTATCGTCTCTTGTGAGCCATTGAGCATCACACATAGTCTCAGTGCAGCAGCTGGAAGCTTTTCAGTGTATAATGATGGAGGAGCAGTGCGATGCAATGTTGCAAGCTTTTGAGATTTTATATCACGAGGCTTACGATTTTGGGGGGCATACTTCAAGCCCTGCCTCCTGAAATTTTCTGGTTTTCGTGATTGTAGAGAAAAGCTTGAAAATGTGTCCCTGGGATCACAAAAAAATCAAACAGAAGACAAGGAAATGAACCCCAACTTCTAATTCTCAGAATATTTGTGGGGCCTGACATTTTTCTGAATATTTGGAGTTGGCCATACAGCTCTGAGGCATCATACAGCACTTCTGCCACCACAAGGAGCCCTTATCTGCCTGGAAAATAGGAGTGGAAGAGGAAAGAAAATAGAAATCTAGAAGAGTAATGGGAACAAAGGGCATGGACTAGTTGATGTGATGGCTGCTTCCTTTTCATGCATAGGGAAGTTGACAAGGCCATAGACGGAGGTCCTGTTCATTCTTTTTCTGTGTTTATGCAGGACCCGAGCCAAAGCCTGTTCAAGCAATCTGGTCTCTCCACTGCGGTCTATGGAGGTTAGATCAGGCCTTGATTTCTGGGTGTGGCCTAGCTCATAGCCACTAAGCTACTTGACTTTACAGGTAGATGGTTACGAAAAGTGGAATCAGTTTGAAAAATTCCTCTAATGTATGTAACGTACAAAGGTTGCATGATTGTGTGTCAGGGAGTTTTATCAGCACATTTGGGTATAACTCAGCTTTGAATAATTCAGTTGCCCCACATGAATGCCAACAAACAGCTTATAGAATACCATTCTATAGTCAGTGTTTTTGTGTTAATTGTAGTAAAACAAAAAATCCACTTAAATATTTTTCTAAACTGACTGGCTGAAAAAATGCCATGTGATCTAAATTACATGTGCAACACCGTGTTGCCCAATTGTTCCAGATATTGCATATATTCAGATATGCTGTACTTCCCAGAAAGCACATTGCGCACACGCAATTTTATGTATATAACAAGAATAAAAGTGAATTGTGTAGTTAAAGCAAAGAGCACAAAGTGTTGTAAATCCCTTATTATACCTACTGGCTGTGTCTAGACTGCATCCCTTATCCGTAAAAGGGATGCAAATTAGACACATCGCAATTGCAAATGAAGCGGGGATTTATATCCCCCCCGCTTCATTTGCATAAACATGGCTGCCGCTTTTTTCCGGCTTGGAGCTTTGCCGGAAAAAAGCACCAGTCTAGACGCGGATCTTTCGGAAAAAGGAATAAGGGATCTTTCGGAAAAGGCTTTATTTTCTGAAAGATCCGTGTCTAGACTGGTGCTTTTTTCTGGCAAAGCTCAGAGCTGGAAAAAAGCAGCAGCCATGTTTATGCAAATGAAGCGGGGGGGATTTAAATCCCTGCTTCATTTGCAATTGCGATGTGTCTAATTTGCATCCCTTTTATGGAAAAGGGGATGCAGTCTAGACACAGCCACTGAGTGAAGAAACCATACGATAATGCTGTAGTATATGCTAGCCATCTCTGAAATAAGAGCTCTGCCAATATTGCCTTGCAAAAGAAAATGTCATTGACTATATGTAACGCCCTCTGACAGATTTATAATCCCAATCTCAGTAAGTCTAATTATCGGACAAGATTTTTACTGGGGGTGCTCTTTACACCAGCACAATTTTGTGTGTGTGTGTGTGTGTGTGTGTGTGTGTGTGTGTGTCTGAAAAATGTGGTTACCAAAATAAACATAAAATACATTGAAAAACCGTTCCTTTATACTTTAACATTTTTTTTCTCTAGTCTGAGCATTCACAAGAATCATTACTAAAAAGCAATGAATTGTTCATTACTCAAATACACCATAAATGCAATCTGTTCCATGATGTATCTGGAAGGAATAATAGTGCAAGTGTGCAAACGGCAAGAACAGTGACGAGAAATGTGTGTGCATCTGCGCATATACGTACTGTTGATTTTGGCCTCTAGATGTGGATTTGGTTTGAGGCAAAATGATTGCCTTGTAAGTTACTATAACCCAAGACAAACACACACTGCTGGGCTTATACTTGCTGATAGATCACATTTAATATAAAATATGCAAAACCTTTTAAAAGCTCATCATAATCTCTGAACAAACTTGGCTATCTTAGAGAATTGGGTCCAGCTCTTGGACTGCAAATACCCTGAGTCTGAAGTGACCCCTAATGAGGGATGTGCAATAGCGGGTTAGTACCACTGTCCCACCAGACATGGAGAGGACTGATGGGAATGTTACTTAGAAGTCTTGAAAAAGAGATGGACAGGCAGAGTCCAGCCCTCCTTAGGCCAATCTCATTGCAGAACTGGGTGTAAGGAGCCTTCTCTAAGTTTACAGAGATGTACTGTGAATAGATGCCCACCACTGTGTTACTGGAAGTACTCCTATACAAATCTAGCCAGTGTTGAAAGTGTGATTGGAGTTCAGATGCTGCCTTTTAGTGCAGTGCAAATGGCATAACAGCCACTTGTGGCATCTCTTGCTTGTCTGTAATGTTAAGTGAAAAGATTTGTTGACCTCCAGCCAGCTACTGACTCCTCCATGAAAATCTGGAATGGTTTAGTTTAATGTAGTAAGAGTTGTGCTGCCACTAGGATTTCCAGGTGTCCGGTATTGACCCGGACAGTCTGGTATTTTCACCTTCTGGCTGCTTTAAAAAAAAAAAAAAAAAAAAAAATCAGAAAATACCGGACACCTAAAATGTCTGGTATTTTCTAATTTCCCCAACCCCGCTGGCCAGGAGTCAAAAATCTCGGGTGCTTAGCTGGTTCCGCAAAGGAGCTGTCTGGCCCGGAGCAGGAAGACAAGATGGCAGACTGCTGTCAGCAGCCTGTTAGGGCCAAAAAGCCTCAAAAGCATTTCTTAAAGGGGCCGTGTTGTGTGTGCGTTCGGTATTTTTGGTTAAACCATCTGGCAACCCTACCTGCCACCTGACCAATGTCCCACACTGACATTACTAGGGATATCATGCTGGTAGCTTTAGAATCCATGGCCACACACAAATGCAAACATATTATAATTGTTCTTATCCATTGAGCTGGAATGCTAAGGTGCGGAAAATGGAGTGTTCAGATTCATCTGCAGAAATGGTAATTCCAAAACAAGGCATACTATCACTTTGTCCTGTGACTGGAAAAACAGCTGTGCTCACAAACATCTGCCACTCATTGTGACATTGGGTCTACGGCTAAAGGAGATAGGGTTAACCCACTGTAATCAAGAGGGCTAGTACAAACACCAGTCATATCCATTTATAGGTGTGGAGAATGGTAAGTAAAATGGTGGCATGAATAAATATGAGCTAAATGATGGGGCAGAGTGGGCAGTAATGCCACACGATAGATAAAATGTTTTCAGAGGAGATTCTGACAGTTGCTTAAAGTCCTGATCTGGAGACAGATGAACTGGGTTGGCAAAAGTTTCATCTCATTTATTCTAACAAGTACCACCATGATTGTCCAAACCAGTGTCTGCCAAAACTGAAAAAGCCTTTCTTATTCACAAACTCCCATGATGAAAGGATGGGCCTTCCAAGCTGAGGTTCACTTTTAAGGTGCTGGGTAAGCAATGAGGCACAAAAGCAAAGATAGAAGGGCATTGTGAAGGATACTTTGAGAAATGGTATGTCTCAGTCATTGCTCTTTCCTTTCCCAAACAGGTGCAATGCCATACCTACACCGGATACTGTTGGTGTGTCACTCCTGATGGCAAACCCATCAGTGGCTCTTCTGTACAGAATAAAACTCCTGTATGTTCAGGTACTGTGGCGGGGGAATAAATAAGTATTTTTTGATGTTTTAAAATGCTGGTGGAAGAGAAGGGGTGAGTTCTGTTCCTAGTGCCACTTGTTTGGAATCTGCGAATGGCTTTACTAATTTGCCAAACCAAAGTTGCAACTGTACCCACTACTCTCTCAGTTGTGTGCATGTTAGCCCATGTGGGACCTTTGTGTTTCCAATCACAGTCATGGTTGTGGCAGCTCAGTTGTTCATTGGGCAGCAGACGTGCAGCGAAAGGCTTATAGAAGATAGTTGTTAAGGTAGAGGAGTGCAACTGCAGCATGAAACCCAGGGATGGGTTCTCTTCTTACTTTAACTGTACATCAGAGGATTAATGGGAGTGTTTAAAGAATGGGGCAATACAGTTTTAACGACGGCAGATGTGATAAGTTCTTTGTGGGAAGGAAAGCTCGCATACTATTCAATTAGTGCAGAAGGACAAGAGAGTTAGATCCTCTCTTGAGAGCATTGCCATTTTTTTGCAACACAACAGACATGACTTTCAAGTCATGAACTATTTTCACTCCTCACATTTACTGACTTGCTGACCCTTCTGTATACGTGGCTGCTGTTCCAGTTCATGCTAGAGAGGTCTGCTAGATGTCAAGACTTAGTGCTACTTCTCTTACTCCAAGAAAGAAAGAGTAAGTAGATTGCAGCAGTGCCTGGAAACACTATAAAATAAGATTCTTCCCAGCCATGCAAACCAGTATTGGCTCTACTCTGGTCTTTGGAGAGAGGATCCCTTCAGAGGTGAGGGTGTTTTGAGGCAGCAATGATTGTACAGCAAAATGAAGAATGTACGAGTATTCACAGATGATGGTAGAGTCATGAAAAGGTGAGAAGTCAGGGGGGAGAATTTTTCTTGCCATGCCACTGAGCTAGTGCTACTTTTCTGTATCATGGCTATACTATTGAAAGCTGGTAAAATGGGTGATTTAATTACCTCAGACTCCCACTATTGGATCAAATGAGGTATCTAGAGGTAAGAATATGAAGGCAGCAATTGTATTAGTTTGCGGGTCTTAGAGTGCAAGGGAGACCATACTCCAGTTTCTGCTATGGGTTACTGGAGCTAGATGACATACTGTAGCATGAGAACCTTGTACTCGAACACCCAGAATTTTAATGCTTACATTTAAAACTGATTACAAATGATAACTCCTGCTTTGGCTTTGAAAGTTGAGTCCCCATGACATCTCACAAAAGTGCATTTGTAAATACTGTGTATGATGAAAGTTGTATTATGTTCAGAAGTGCTAAATATAAATCCCTCAGACAGCTCTGGCCTTGTGATATACACTCCTGCATCTTGAATATATTCTCCATGCTCACCTTGCTGTGTAAATTTTCATTCTATTCTGAAGAAAGAACAAGTAAATTCTTCACTTACTTGTCATGATCATGTAGCACGTGGTAATGAGGAAGGCTCAGTGCATTGATCTAGTAGATTTGTGAAGGTCACATTTCTGTCCAACCAGGAGTTGCACTGACTCCTGGCTGAGAATAATGAAACTTGAGACAACACTTGATGCTTTATAGGCCTGATGTACAATTTCCCTCCAAGTGTGAAAACATTTTTTTTGGAGTAATCTTCTGTAGAAAATAAAGTGCCATGGCAAATTGGCTTGCTTCAGAATATGGTTTACTTTACATTTTCACTCTGTAATTTGGTAGAATGGTTCTTTCTGATAATGTATTTTTTTCCCTCTTATTTACTTTATTGTCATTAGGAAAATTTAGTCTTTTTTTTTTTTTTTTTTTTTTTTTGGGTAGGTCACTTCAAAGCCCATAGAGAGTTGTATTTGTGGTTCCCAAAAGGACCAAATCAAGAACACAGCTTTTTCTTTTAACTTTCTCACTTTGGAGAGATTTGTCCAAATAGCCATTGTCTCCAATTGCACTTTTAATGTGAAATTGATTGACAATGCATCTTAAGACTGACTGAAGAAACAAATACAGAATGTTCTATTTCACATGACTATTAAGAGTGATTTTTTTTAAATCACTTCAAAATTAAATCAATACCTTATTCAAATTCCTGCCAGCACCAGTTCAGGGTCGTGTTCCCTCAATAGCAGCTGGTGACATTCAGGGAGGGACAGAGACTATCTGGGTTAATCCAGGCCCCATTTAGAGCTCTTCTTCCCAAACATACTGTCTCTGCTCAGTGGCTTTTTCCAACTCCTCTAGTCACCTGACTCGTCCCCCCTGACACTTAGGGTGTGTCTAGACTACCTAGTTTTGTCGACAAAAGTGGACTTTTGTCGACAAAACAATACCAGCATCTACACTACCAGTACACTACACTACCAGTACACTACACTACCAGCGTACACTACATAACGTCGACAGAACTCCGCGGTTTTGTCGACGCTGGTATACCTCATTTTACGAGGCATAACACTTTCTGTCGACAGAACGTGTTATTGCCTGTAACACTGCGTCCAGACTACAGAGTTCTGTCGACAAAGCGGCTTGCTTTGTCGACATAACTCCATGTGTCTGGACGCAAATTGTCGACGGAAGTTTTGTCGACAGTATCTGTCGACAAAACTTCCGTCGACAAAACGCGGTAGTCTAGACGTACCCTTAGAAATCAATTCTTCCTTTACTATTCCCTTCTCTCTATGATGTATTGATTGCATTCCTAGCCACCCTTGGGTTTCTTAGGTTTGGTTTCTTAGGGCACATCTACACAGTAGCGTTATTTTGAAATAATAGAGAGCATCTACACAGCAAGCCCTTTATTTCAAAATATCATTGAAATCACAGACAACTTATTCTGGATTCTGTTACCCCCTTTTACGAGGAATAATGCCTGTTCCAAAATAGCTATTTCAGAATAGCATGTGTGTAGTTGAGGCAGATGGAGTTATTTTGAAATAAGGGGCCTCCAGGAAATCACACCGCTACCTTGGTAGCCACTCTGTCCACACTCATCAGAGCTCTATCGTTCCCCTCTATCGTTCCCCTTCTCCTAAAGCTGCAGGCAGAAGGGAAAGGGCTTGTGGCATGAAGCAGGCCATAATTGCATTGTGCTACATAGCAGGACCCTTCACAGCCTTCCCTGCTGCCATGGCTGAGCCCAGTGCTCAAGCCAAGCCTTCCACAGCTGCCAGCACTACCTCAGGCAGCTCCTAAGCCCCTGCCCAGAGCCAAAAGAGGAGGACCTGGCCTGGTGCAGAGATCCTGAATCTCTTTGAGATCTGGGATGAGGAAGAAAACCAGCGGGATCTCCACACCAGGTGCAGGAAGATGGACATTTGTGGCCAGATGGTCAAAAGCCTGGGCCACACGTGCTCACAGGAGCAGTTGTGCAAGAAGGTCAAAACTGCACCAGGCCTGCACGAAGGCTAGGGAGTGCAGCTCCTGTTCAGGGGCAGGACTCCAGGCCTGCCCCTACTACGGGCAGCTCCATTGCATCCTGGGAGGGGGGCAGTCCCATTTCCCCCTCCTCTTGTTGTGGACTCAGGACTAGAGATGTCCATCATGAGCCACCTAGAGGGTGTGGCTGGGGATGAGGAGAAGGAGGAGGTGGAGGAGGAGGCCAGTGGACACAATGCCTGGTATCCAGGAAGCCATCCCAGCTGTGGAGCCGGTATCACCAGCCAGGATGCCAGCCAGGGATCGGATGACAGCGGGGAAGGCCCATTAGGTGAGCTACATTATTTACACACACTCACGGAGGGGGAGGGATCAGGTGGTGAGGGGCTTCGCGCTCCTTGCTCAGCCTTCTCAGCCTGGGGACTGCACAGTAGCCTGTGCACATGGAGCACCAGTCCACAGCCCCAGGAGCCTGCCGGGAAGGAGCCTTGCACTCCTGCTCACGGGGTGCCTGGAGAGGCTGGCCTTGCTCCTAACGCCGTGGTGGGACGAGGGCTGGCTTCAGGCACCGTGTCTCCCGGGAAGACTGACCTTCTCTTTGTTCTACACAACTGAGCCAACCGCGAGAAGGGTGCGTACTACACCTCCTGTGTCTTCCTCCTGACCCCACATGACCTGCAGGCGCAGGTGAGCCCAGGATGACCTGCAGTGAGAGCACATTGCCTCCCTTTATGCCCTGCAGCACTTCCTGGACTGGCAGGACTGCAGAATGGAGGCGGACCTGGAGCTGCAACGAAACCCCTGGCAGGAGCTGCTGCAG